AATTATTTTTCATATAGCCTGTATATGTTCTGCGGAATCTGCATTAAACTGTATCTTCCAAACTACTAAACGGATCTGGGTGAATTTTGGATATGTGGTTCACCCAGATCCCCCGGTTCCGATGCATGTTTTGGGGTCCCTGTGATATGTTTTATAATACTGTATTTCTCTGCCTGTGATAATTATATTAACCATTGTGTTCGGTAATCAAATCACAGGCATTTTGTGTGAAAGTGTCTGTGTGTATTGTACGGATTGATTGGTTGTATTTCAAAACCCTGTGGGCAGTAGTATGTTTGTAGAATGTGAATAAAAGAGGCTGTGTGTGCCAGTACAGTCAGTTCTTCTTCACCCTCAATCTAGAGTCCTGTCTCTTATTGGGGGAATTGCTATATCACTACAAGGGATTGCTATGCCCTGCATACTCACTTAGCTAATCACTACTAAGTTCTTTTAAGAGCTTGTTCCTGCGTCACTCTCTTGGAGGAGAGGTTCACCTACTGGAACCTGGAGCCTTGTTGTAGGTCCAGGGTGGGTAGGAGATGGCGAGACACCAACCAAGCTGCGGCGGTGGGTGGGGTCTGCAGTGGTTGTGGTGTCTGTGGAGCGCTTGGAGCCCTCTGTATGCGCTAGGAGCATCCTTCAACGGAGGTACCCAGTTGGTGTGCCAGGTGATCCGTTACAGTGGCTTAGAGTGCCTTTGTGTTGGCTACATCGCCAACATGTCTCCTGAGTCCCTGGGTATATTTGAGCCAACTTTTGAGGCATAAAGTACCACCTTAGCCAAACCTTATAGGCTGCTTCCACGTGGTCTAGACAGCGTGCAGCCTTTTTTTTACCAGTGACATGGCCCTAATCCACCTGCGTGGCTCAAGTATACAATTTAGCAAAATTTCCCATTGCGGCATGTAGGACTGCTTTGCCGGTCTGTCTATGTCTAGTAAGCGGTGGTAACATAGGGAGAGTGGTTTTGAGGTGGGTTTTGTGACCTAGGCATAACATGTCAAAGTGGTTTGGGGGTTTGTTGTCACTTTTTTAACATCCCCAACTATGTGCTTTATACGCAGGTATGTGAATATTTCACTGTTGGGGAGGAGGTACTGTCGTTGGAGGTCGGGGAATGGTAGCAGCCCTTCTGTTCCCAGGAGGTGTGATATTCTGGTCACCCCCCAAACTGTCCAGCCGTGCAGAGGTAGGTCGTGAGTGTGGCATTGAAGACTAGTCAGTGGGGCGAAGGCTCCATGTTCCCGCTGAACATTTTTGGGGCCCAGCTTAGCCATAGCTGGAGTGACCATCTTGCCGTCGCGAGGAGTTTGGATTGTCGGGGTTGGGCAGTGGCGGGGAGCCATAGCAGGTCACTAAGGAAATGTGGTGCACTGAATGCATTCTCCAGATGATACCATAGTGGGTGGTCTGCGCAGGTCAGGAGAAATGCCGTTTGGGAAAGATTAGTCACTAGATGATATTTGGTTACGTGGGATACTCCTATGCCTCCCTCTCCCATGGTCATACTGATTTTTTCTAGGGAGACCCTGGGTGAGTTTTTTTTCCAGATGTGCGCGTTGAGGAGGCGATGGAATGCGAGGAGAGGGTATACTTGGGGAGGCTGAAGGGCCCTGAAAAGGAATAGGATCTGTGGGAGGACGATCATTTTTATAGCGTTAATGCGCCCTAGCCAGGATGCATTTTTATTGCCCCAACTCTCCAGCAGCTGCCCTATGTTTGTTATTAATTTCCCGTGGTTGTGTTTCAGGAGTGTGTGTTTTGAGGGCGCTAATTGCGTGCCTAAGTAGGAGAAAGTATCCTTCCGCCATTCAAAGGGGTACAGTGTATTCAGGGACTCGAGTTGTGATCGGGGCAAGTTCATGGCTAGTACTTGAGTCTTTGCCACATTGTTTTTGTAATAGGAGACCCGTCCATACTCATGTAGTAGGTGTAGAAGTGTTGGGAGAGAGTCAGAGGGTTTGGTAAGGAAGAGGAGGATGTCGTCGGCAAACACTGCTATTTTTTGTGGGTCCATTGGGGAGGGGATGTCAGTGCTACCAGGACCTGCCTTAATCTTGTGGATTAGGGGCTCTAGCGCAACGATGAAAATAAAGGGTGAGAGTGGGCAGCCCTGCCGTGTACCGTTTGTCAGAGTGAAGCTCCTGGATGTGAATCCGGAGCTCATGGCTGTAGCTTGAGGGGAGGAATATAAGGACAGGAGTCCAGTTAGGAATTGGATGGGAAGTTGAACCTGCAGAGAACCTCTGACATGTAGCCCCAGTGGAGCCTGTCGTAGGCCTTTTCCACGTCCAAGGTCATCATGAGGCCCTGTGATCTGTCGATACTCATGAGTTCCAGTATGTCCAGGGCTCTTCTGGTGTTGTCCTCTACCTGACGTCCGGGGACAAAGCCCAACTGCTCAGGGGAAACAAGTTGACAGAGTAGGGGGTAAATTCTATTTGCTAGGACCTTAGCGAACAGTTTAGTGTCGGCATTAAGAAGTGAAATCGAGCTGTAGTTCGCACAAGAGTCTGTGGGTTTACCTGGTTTGGGGAGTGTAATAATGGTGACCTCTGACATTTCCGGAGATATGTTACCCGTCTCTCAAATGTGGTAGAATAGTGCCGCAAGGTGGGGGAGCAGTAGGTCCTCAAATACCCTGTAGTAGTGAGTGGAATATCCATCCGGGCCTGGGGCTTTGTGTCTTGGGGTGTCATGTAATGCCTTAGAGGTTTCAGAGGGTAGAATCAGGTTGGTGTTGAGGCCTGTTCGCTGGTTAGCTGGGGGAGGTTTACCCCTTCCAGAAAGGTGGCAATGTCTTGGGCGGTGGGCTGGTGCTGGGTGGAATCCCCGGAGAGATTGTATAGTTTTGCATAGAAGGTAGCAAATTCGTCCACAATCACCTTAGGATCCATAACCTTAGCTCCATTACCGTACCTGACAAAAGGAATTTTTATCTGGGAGGTTCTTTCCCTGAGCTGAGACGCCAGTAGTTTGCCTGCCCTGTTCCCCTGTCTGTAGTAGTTTGTTTTCAATTTTCTAATGGCGCGTTCAACTTGTTGCATTTGTAGGGTTTCTAGGGTGGTCCTAATTTTGTGAACCTCCAGTCTGTGTGGGTCAGTGGGTGAGGCTTTGTATTGCTTTTCGGCCTGTTTTAGGTCTTTCAGTAAAAAGCTGCTTTTCTCAGAGATTTGGCACCTCAGTTTCGCCCCCTGTTGTATTAGCATACCTCGCGTGACTGCCTTATGGGCAAGCCAGGTCTTGGTAATGTTTGTGTCGGTGTAATGATTGTCCACAAAGTATTGTGTAAGGGATCTCCTGATCACGGCCGCCCTCTCAGGATTGTCTATCAGGGACTTGTTGAGTCTCCACTGACCCCGCCCTCGGACTGGATGTAGTGTGGTGAATGATGACGTGAGAGGGGCATGGTCCGACCAGGTTATCGGGGCAATGATGACCTCAGCTAAGGTATCCAGGGTTTTTGTGTCTACCAGGCATATGTCTATGCGGGAGTACTGATCGTGAAACCTAGAATAAAAGGTTTAATCCCTGGAGGCTGGATATAGTGCCCTCCATGTGTCATGTAAGCTGTGTGAGTGAAAGAGTGCCAATAGCTTTTCTCCCAAGAGTGAGGATCGTGGGTGGGAACCTGGGCTACCCGACCTGTCTATATCAGGATCAAGTACAAAGTTAAAATCCCCACATATGAGCATCTGCCCCTTTTTTAGTTTGTCAATCCATCTCAGGGCTTTCGGAGGAAGTCGTATTGGTTGGCGTTGGGGACGTAGATTTGCTATAGTCACCTGAGCGTCATTGAGGAGTCCTACTAATATATCAGAAGCCTACCATCTGAGCTTTTGTACTCCTCTTCACATTGGAAATGCCAGTCCGAATGAAACAGTAAACTAACTCCCCTTGTCTTGTTGGGCGCTAGGGCATGGTATGCTAAGGGATAAGAGGTGGATGAAAACCTTGGGGGATTCTTAACCGTGAAATGGGTTTCTTGTATACACGCCATGGAGGCATGCAGGGTCCTTAGTTGAGACATGGCCAGCCTACGTTTTTGCGGGCTGTTTAGCCCGTGAGCGTTTAGGGATACCAAGTGAAATCTGTTAGGGGGGGTCATTGCGGTAAGGGTAGGGTGCCCCTAGGGCGTGTCTGAGTGGTCGCAAGTTTCCCCCCTGCATCTCAGTAGTTTGGCTGAGGGAGATTTTTAGTGGGTTTCCCAGTTCTTACAGTGTGGTATGCAGGCAGCATCTCCTTAAAGAGCCTAACCACACATATTAGATGGAAAGAGGAGGTGGGAGGCAGGGGAGGTGGTCCTTGTAAGAGTCCAGTGGGATATTAGGCAAAAGCCGGGACCAGTAGGGCCGGAGGTTTAATTTTGGACTAACATTTGCGTCTTGTCAGTCCTCCGTGGGGCATACGGGGGTGTGGATCGTGGGTGGAGAGCCCCGTAGCCCAGCACCATTTAAAGTCCATGCCAGTCACTCCTTCGGACAGGTTTCTTGGCATAGGATTTGGGCATTAAGTCCAAAGCATGGGGTGGTGAAAGAGGTAGTGTCTCGTAAACTGGGCGAATGGGTGGGAGACAAAAAGTACTCATGTGAGGGTGGTAAGCCCCTTGTAGCCCATTGCTCCTTAGAAATAAGCGTCATCTCTGGGTGGTATCAGCCGCTAGGTTTTAGCCCAGCTCGTGGCCACTCTTTTTGGGGAAGAGGTCGCTTTATCGTCTGGGAATAGTCCCCAGGTTTTGATCTTTTCCATTCCCTGGGCCGGATCCTCAATTTTGGCGAGGGAGCCATTCCGCCATACAAGGAGTTTTGTGGGGAATCCCCATTTGTAGGGCACTTTGTGGTTCCTGAGGCATTTGGTAATGTTAATAAAATCCTGTCTCCTGGACATTGTCGTTGGTGATAGGTCAGCATACAGGGATATCTCATCGTAGTTGGGTGGCATCGCAGAGGCCTTTCTTTGCGCCGTAAGTATGGCGTTGTAGTAGTGAAGTCTAGTAGCTATATCCCTTGGTACATCTTGTGCGAGGTTGTTTGGTTGTTTGGTTTCGGCACACTGTGCGCCCGGTCGAGGCAGAGGTCCGCTGGTTCCACGGTAGGCTGAATTGCCTGAAAGAGCTGTAGCAAGTAAGACGGCAGCTCCTCGTGCGTTATTTTTTCCAGCACTCCACGCACGCAGATGTTTTTGCGGCGGGAGCGATCCTGGGTTGCCATTTTTTCCTTAAGGCACTTGTTATCTGTTTCCAGTTTTTTCTTCTAGGGTGTTTACTCGTGACCCTACCTCGAGTAGGTCTTTGCGCATGTCTGAGACCGCTGTTTGAAAGTCGGTTCTCATAGATGTGCGCCGCTCTTGGAGCATAGCCGCCAGCCTCTTTTCTGACACCGAGAGGTTACCTGTGGAGGTTTGCCTCGAATCATTGTTGGAGCCTGCATCAGAGTTGTGCGCAGGTGAGTGGGAGCCGCCGCCATCTTGGTCGGAACGCTGCCGGTCTCTCCTCCCTTGTCGGAAGAAATCCAATGCTCTTTGGGCTTTAGGAGGTGCCATGTCGGGGTTGGGAGGGTTCCCTTTGTCTTAGGTGCTGTTTCAGGGTGGTATAGGTCTGCTTGCCGCTTGTTATGTCGCTCTTTAGGCTGATCCGATCACGGAGCTCTCACAGCATGCGACCGCTAATTCATCTTTTAATGCCTCAGATAGACCCAGTTGGTGCAGCAGAGGGTCTCAGGTGTTATGGTATAATGTACACATTGCTGCAACAAAGGAGTCCCATGAGTCCAGAATTGGACTGTTGGAGTGCAGGAATTGATGTGCCCAGGTTTGGGGTTTACCCGACAGCAGGGCAATTGTAGTGCGAACCTTCACATAATCAGTGGGGTATGTGCGTGGTTTTAAAGTGAAGAGCAGTTCACAGGCTGTGATAAATGATTGCAGTTCAGTCTTTTTCCCAGTGAACTTGTCAGGTAATGCAATATCAGGTTCAGGAGCATGGTGTGTGTTCCGCTTTAACTCAGCAAAACCACCCTGCAATTCACTTACGGTTTGGGACAGGAGGGTCACTTGCTGTGTGAGGGTAATCAGGACATTCAATATCTCTGTGGGCTCCATGGTAATGATCTGGTCATTATGTAACAGTCACCAGGGGACTTATGGAACAGTTTACCAGGAGTTGGAGCCCAGTTGCAGGAGATGGCACAGGAAGCAGGCAAAATCCAAAACATAGTACAGATTAAGGGAAAATCCAAAGACAGGGTCAGGTAAGAAGCAGAAGTCAGGGCTGGCAGCAGAGTAACAAAGTCGGTAAATCAGGCAGAGGTCAGAGTCCAGGAAATCAGTCAGTAGCAAATCAAAGATCCGACAGCAAACAGGCAAAATTACCAGATACTAACTTTCAGGCAGGGCTGGCTTTTACAGCCTGCTAATTAGATGCAGCTGACCCTAATTAGAAAACGGTTGCAGGTGGACCAGTGCTGCTTAATCCAGGCAAATAGTCAGGAAGCAGAAAAATGCAAACAGAAACTGAAGCCCCTGGTGGATGTCATGGCAGAGAACCTGTGAGTTCAAACCCAGCCAGGTCTCTTAAAGGGGCGGCCACACTTGCTATCTGCAGGGCTCGGGCTTTGCCATGACAGTATCTTCCCTCTAGTGTCTCATCAAACCAACAAAACTAGCAAAAATACAATCTATTAATGAATATGCCACTGAATGGGAAAAATCCCATGGTTGAAAAACCAAACAAAAATGTGAAAAAATGATCTACATACGTAATGAACTCAGTGACATTCAGTCACTGATGGCTGGTGAATAGAGGGAAATATCCCAAGAGAGTGAGCCAAGATATTTTATAAATAAGTTATAAAGCCAGGAGCGGTGTTAATAGTTATACCGTGTCTATCGAATTGTTCTGTTTAAACCATCTAAAATTAAAAAATTGTAATCTCTAAGATATAATATATGGATGCAAAGCCAATTGTTAGATAACACATTTACAATAGCTCCCAATAACAAAGTGCAAACTTATAATTATGTGTGGATTATTATATTAAAAATAATATAAAAAAAAATGTTTTGTCAAAAATTATAATACTTAAAATTCAAAGATACAAATTAAATTATCTCACAAGTGGCTACTTATTATTATATTAATAATGCAATAATAAAAAAAAAACAGTCTGTTAAATATTATATCTAAAGTGAATTAAAATTTTGTGAATATAGAGTTACTTCAAATATCAAGTGGGAATACTCTAAGTTATCTAATTATTACTCTTGTGTCTAAAAGTGTTTATATTTTGAAAAAAGTATGGAACTGCACTCACTCCCATCAGTCAGAGCCAGGGTGCTCTCTGTGACTGGAACCAAACACCAGATTCCCAGGATCAATGAAATAAAATAAAGGGGGTCCAGGCACTAAAAGGAGTGCCTGGATCCCCTTTATATTATTTAAAAGTGTGTATATAACCTAAATATAAGTAAAATTTTATTATCTAGATTAATTCATAGTGTATTTTTATCAGAAGTAGTCTGTAATAGATACTAAGTGCTCTCATAATAATTAAAAATTTACTACATTCAATCTTTAAGTGAATAATGTATTAAAATATATTGATGTAAAGTGCAATTTTTCTACACCAATTTAGCGCAAGTGCATTTCATCCTCAAAAAAAACCCAACAGATTAATAGTTTAATAACTCTCAAATCAAATTTAAGTAGTGATAAAATAATTATCTAACGCATAAAATGTAGTGAATGTAATATTTTTTTCTAATACGTACAAGGGCATTCTAAATAATCAGTCAAAGGCTAGCCTTAAATATGATAACCCCATTAATTTGTGGAAAAACAGAAAACAGCACATAAGATTATTGTCTAGTCCAGAATACCTATATTTTTAGCCTGGGAATATCTTCCACAGGGTTTTTGACTAACACATTTATCACATTGTGAAAAATTATTAACTTAGTGGGCAGCCCCCATCTATAGCTTATTTTTTTTAATCTTAATTGTAACGTTAGATCTTTAAAACGTCTTCTATCCATTGTAGTTGTCAAAGAGAGATCTGGGAATACCATGATCCCTTCATATTTCTTATCTCTCTCAGTTGTTGATTAAATCTCAATTGATTCAAGAATGTATCTTTCACAGAACAGTTCAAGAACCTAACGATAACATCTCTAGGGAAAGAGGAATCAGGATCCCTAGCTTTATAGATTCTGTGACATCTCTCTAAAGGAAAGGAAATAAGCTGTTGTGTATCAACACAATGAGAGATAAATTTGGTCACATATTTAGATGGGGCATCATTCTTTATGTCCTCTAATATTCCTTTGAATCTTAGATTGTTTCTACATTATCTTCTATCTGTAATATTTTATCATCCATCTCTTTTACCTGACATTTTAGGGATATATTCTGAGACTGGCAAGATGTTCCTGATTCTGCTAGAATATGGAAGGTCGTTGAAAATATTTTGCTAGAACCATAGACAGTCAATACTTATTACACTCTTTTAGGTCACTGGCAAATAAAAAAAATGGTCTCTTTTTAAAAAACAATTCAAAGGTTATGCAGTGTTTTTGAATTGATTTGAAAATGGAAAATTTCTTCAATTCTTAAGCTGACAAAGATGTTAAAACAGGAGGAAGTGATGATGTAAGATGCTGAAGGGGCGGACGTCTACGTACGAGTGGGAGAAACCTTAGCAAACCCCCGGGACACAATAAGAGAAAGAATGCCGGATATTTTGTGAGGGCTGGCTGAGAGCAACCCGAAGTTTGTGGAACTAGTGGAGCTCTGGAGAGAACCTGCAATTTGTTACCGAAGGGCTTGGACAGGGTCAGGGTCAGGGTCAGAGTGAGCGGGGTCAGAGTGAATGGAGATCTGTATGAAGACGCTTAGACAAATGGAGAGAAGAGAGGAGAGTGTAGAAGCGTGGTCATATAACTGACCCGGGGAGCACAGACCCTGACTAAACGATTGATATAGAAGAAGCAGATACAGAAATCAAAAAGTGAGTTTGAGAAGAAACGATAACTGAAAAAATATATGTACAAAAGTAACTCCCAAAGGGAGGAAGTAAAAAAAAAAACATTGATTTGGGGGGGACAGGAAGAAACGTTAATTAAATAGATATATGACACATAACTAAAGGAACTCAAAGTAATAAAGAAGAAAAGGAGGATAAAAGAGAGAAACAAAAGGGAGGAGGGAAGGGAGGAAAAGGAAGGGGAAAAGAAAGAGACGAGAATAAAACATAACTTCCCACAACCCTATAACTAAAAAAATCAAGAAAACGAAAGGGAAATGAAAAAGGGGGGAAAGAAGAAAGAGGATCCCAGACAGTAAAAATAGATTCTGACTTCCTGAAGTGAAGTAACTGCTTAGTTAACAAGACAAAACCAACTAACTAAAATCCTGCTGGATTTCCCCCCCTCACCCCCTTACCCCCTCCCCCTCCCTACCCTATGAAAGTTCCTCCACTTTAACTTATTACCGGCCTGAACAGAAGGTCTAAAAAGGAGATTGTCTCCAACTCACTATATACTTAGTTAAAGGCCTGACAGCAAGAATCAAAATTGCCACAAAGAAAAGCACCGAAATTAAACAAACTGCTAAAAGAGAAAAAAAGCAAGATACAAAATTAACAAAAGAAAAAACGCTAGCATCAATGTTCTCTCCCCAAAATAGGAAATTTAGCGGGCAAGCAGAAATGTCTCTAAGTCTAGAGTCTAATAGCTCAGCAGAGCATGAAATTGAATCTTTATCAGATCAAATTAATAAAACAGAAAGACAAATGTCTCCTATAGAAGAGGAATTCCATAAAACCTTAGATCAACAACTGAAGTTTGTAAAAGAAGAATTAAAAGAAAACTTCCAGAAAGGATTAGATTCCCAATTACACCAGATTTAAGAAGAATTAAATGAATGTATTAAAGAAATTAAGGAAGAAATACAACAGATGGCAGACAAAATTAAAACTAATGAAAATGAAATACAAAAATTTAAAGAAGAAATCATGGAAAATAAAGCACAGATGGAAAGTTTTAAGAATAAACTGGAGGCGTTGAAAACAAAAGTTACAGATTCAGAGGATCAAGCTCGAAGAAAGAACCTCCGTATAAGAGGAATCCCTGAAGAAATTGGCTCCGGTCAATTAAACAACTACATAATGGACCTGTTTAAAGAAATAGGATTACAAGAAATCTTAAATGAAAATATAATTGAAAGAGCCCACAGATTGCAGAAACCCAAGAACATTCCTAAAGACATTCCACGAGATATAATTATCCGTTTCTCTACCTACTTCAGACAGAAAATGTCCCAAGCATTTAAATCTCTTAGCACAGAAAATGACAGATATAGTAATCTGAAAATGTTCCAAGACTTATCAAACAAAATTAGAACAAAAAGAAGATTATACAAATTCTTCACAGATATCCTAAGAAATAAAAATATAAAATAAAACTGGGTATATCCTGTAAAGATGTATATTAAACATGAAGAAGTTTCCTATATGATTAATGAAGTTAGTGAAGCTAGGAAATGGAAA